TGAGGTCTTAATCATGTGCGGTTGTGAATCAGCAGTGAAGTAGCAGCCGCTGCAAAGAGTATCTAATTTCTTTCCTTGTTAGTATTTAAAACTCTCCAGGCTTAGTGTGCTTCCCACTTACTCTGCCTCCACCTTAATTCAAATTATACTTCATTTCTGTTCCCATAGGCTGCATGACACATTCTTTTCCTTGCACGTGGCTTTACTGGTGCTTGAGGAGTGCAGGATTTTCTCCTGGGTGTTTGGGACCAGCAGGAAAGCCCTTGGTCCCCCTTCAGTTTTGCAAATAAACCCTGAATAAGAACACAAAGGTGAAGGAATTGAGCCTCCTCCCTCATCCTGAGGTCTCACAGAGGGACCTGCTCTGAAGCATAAAGTACTTTCCACAGTCAGGTAGCTAATTTGGTTTTGCTCTTTAAAATGAAGATTACTGGAGGAATAACTTAAACTGCCCTGTTGTGAGACTTGTATTTATTTTCTGGCAGTCTGGTACTTAAATAAATGTCAGAATGAGCTCCTAGGACAGTGGCCTGCAATCCAAACTGCGCTTTTGTGGTGCCACAAAACAGCGAGTAGCTGACTTTGTAAAGAAGGAGCACTTAGCTGTATGCTTACTATCGGTTATGAAGGAGGTCTGCTCTGCCACTGCCTCTCATCGAGCATCAGGGCTTAAACCATCTCTCCATAAGAATGGCTTGCTTGATGTTTGGCGCTTTGTGGTGCAGATTCTTCATTAAAGTAGTTTGTTTCACCAAAGATGTGGTTTTGATGGTGATTCAGTATAAATGTGGTGTCTGACTTCTTTTGGCTTTAATTACTGAGAACTTGTTGCTGCTGGTGAGCTGTACTCAATCTGCTTTTGAGCAGGAAACCCATTAATGTGAGCGCTGAGGGTGGTAAGGCACGGAGCAGTGATGTGAGAATAGGGATGCTCACGTGTACGCTCAGGATGCAAGCCTGAAAACAGTAAATGCCTCTTGGGCTGCATAAGTAACGGCAGTTGCAAAAAAGCAAGCTTAAAAACTGGAGCAGGTTTTGTTAATCCCTTGATGCCAGTATTTTACCTACTCAAACCAAAGCACAGTTCATGTCTGGTGCCTGGCTCGCCTGTAAGGAAGGAAAACGATACAGCTTAATCTTTAAAATATGTCTTGGCAAAACAAACCTGACAGGTATGTCTTCCTATTGTAAACAGGATTTGGGGTCTGGATTTCTTGTGCAAATTACCTTTGACAGTTGTTACTAAGCTAGTGCTTCCAAAAACCAATAAATGATTTTTGCCCTTGTTATATTAAGAACTCAGTCCTTGACAGCTGTGATTATACTGAGGCATGTAAAGGACCTTACAAAGGGACATCCATATTAAAATAAAACTCTTTCAAGTGAGAAATAGGAAACCAAATCTATTAGCCCCTAATTTTACACAGTAATTAAAAACCCATGACCTCCCCCATGCCACCCATCTATTAGCAGCATGTATGGCTGAAGAGCAACAGAGGATACAAGCCCTGCTGCTAATTTTATCCCAGCGCCTGGGGTGTGTGCCTGCGTGAGTGCACGCAGCGCAGCATCCTTTCCCTGGCAGAAGGGTGACGGATGCAACTCCATCGGAAACAAATCCGCCCAGCCGGTCCCTGTGGCTGGAGGAGGTCTCAAAGTCACATTACTCTCTGGCTTTTGCAGCATCTTTAAATGCTTGTGTCAGAGGATTTGGCGATGCTGGAAGTGATGAGGATAAGGAGTCACGGCAGAAGAGCAGCTCGGGGTGCTGTGTTGGTGAAAATAGCTGAAGGCTGGTTGAACCCTGGCTGGGTGGTTGGATCAGAGTGCAAACCTGTCTGTGTGAGAGGTGGGGGTTAACTGGGATGGGAGGAGAATCCCAGTGAGATTTTGGAAACTTCTGACATAACCCTTCAGGAAGGAGCGAGACAAGCCAGTCCGTGCAGAAACAGAGAAAAGTGTCAAAATGGCCAAATGGCAGCTGCATGCAGGGGCTTCAGTAAGATCATTGGCACTGCAATTTAAAAACTGGTGTTAGAAGTTAAAAGGAGGTTCATGAAGGCTGTTGCAGAGCCTGGGAGTGCTGAGCAGGGACACAGGTTCCCAAAGGGCTGCTCCACTGTCCCTCAAAGGACACACCATGGCACCGGAGCAGGCGTGGAAGAGGCGCACATGTCCCTGGAGCCATGTCCGATGGCACAGGGTTAGCATCTCTTTGGCATTCAACTGCAATATCTGCTAAGGAATGGCCATCTCAGACATTTCCAGCTGCCCTCAGACTTTACCCTTGTCCTCTGGGGTGTCTGCAGGTAGCCCAGCCCATGGGTGGGAAGGGGAAAATACTCGTGGCAAGCCATTGGCAAGGTCAGTGTTCTTTAATCTGGAGCTGTGACTTAGCCAGCTTTTTCCTTTCCATTCATAAGATGGGACATGTAGGGATTACCAGAGCTATACATAGATCGCTCTTAGCTGTGTCCTGTTCTGCTGGGAACACTTCAGAGCGGTGTCAACCTTGGGCCGGGGATCCTGCGTGCTCTTTGTCTGTTTTTCACCCTCTGCAGAGAGTTTCTCTGCCAGCATTTGGGGGACACTGGCAGGACCACACGAGGACAACTCTGGAGCTGGAAACACTCAGAAGTTGGGTTTCCTCAGTGGGGAGTCCATGAGAAAGGATAAATGTGTGGGCTGGCTACTGCTTCCCAGGGTGGGAGTCAAAATGCAACTCTAACTTAATTTGATGGGGTTTTATCTGAACACAAGGGGTTTTGAGGGGGTTGTTTTAGGTGGACATTAGGCTCATCATGGATGCGGCAGTGGTGTTGGATTGTGTGTGTCCGTGTGTGCACATGGAGATAAGCGAAGGCGTAATCCAGAATTCCTCTGCTCGATAGCCCCTTATCTCTGAGCATGTGCTGCATGTGTTTTCTCCCTTGGTGGGTCCCCTCCGAGGTGTTGGCTGTGTACATACAGCTGCTGGTTTTAATGCTGATGTTCTGTGAAGGTCCTGCTTTATTGGCTCCTCCTTTATTGGGGAAGCACCCAAAACTGAGCTCCTGGCCAAGGACGGATGAACCAGCAAATACTCTATAGCTTGTCAAGGAAATAGCTGGTACCAGCGAACGGGCATGTTTGAACTTTTCTTTCGGATGCAGTTGGAATTACAGCCTGCTCCACAGAACTCATTAACATTTTAATGTTGGATACTTCGATTTCTAATTGTCACGTAGTATGTCAGGAAGGGTGTGTGTAAGGTAACTTGCAGTGCACGTATAAACGTTGGTATTCTCCTTTAGTATCTCGGTTACATTTGGCAACAAACGTTCTGTGTAAACTACTTAAAATCCTTTGCATTCCAGTGGATCAGAGCACAAGCAAGAAGTGTTATCCTAGGTGAAGCTGCTTAACACAGGATATGTGACTTGACGTTTTTTCATCAAAGCTAGCAGCCACTGCAGCAATCCTGTGCTGTGTGGTGTTGAAATGTGGATTGGCTGCATGAGAAGAGCACTCAAACTAAAGAAAATACATATGCACACACACATATATATATATATAGCAATAAGTGCAGACTACTCAAAAACTGTTAAATTTTGCAGCATACTCCAAGCACTGCACTAACTAATAAAGGAATTTTGTACATTAGTGGTGCTGGGGAATCTAACAAGTTTCTCTTTGACCACAGCAAAATGTTGGCTTCAGCATACAGGCTGTTTTGGCCTCTCTAACTGGATTAGCGAGACCTCTTTGTGTATTGAGATTGGAGGGAGATTGTCTTGCTTGGCATCTGGGATTCCTCCAAGGTGACAGCTTCACTTGAGGACAGAAAATATTATTTACAAGCGTAGCTAAAAATGAAGTTTCCTGTTGGCAGAGTGGGGATGAGTCACTGTGGTTTTGAGTCAAGGGGTAGGATCTTCCCTTCGCTGCAGCAGGTTTTGACGTCCAGATATGTCCTTACAGAGCAGCAGGTTCAGGTGTTTGGCACTTTTGTCCCAGTCCATCCAGTTACTTACACCAGCATGCTTTTGCAGAACCACATGCTTTTTTTGTACCCATGCCTATTGTCATTGGCATTAGCTGGTTTTCCCTCTGCTCACCATACTTGGCGTCTTTCTGTCTGCATCCAGCCAGGGCTTCCCCAGGAGGGGAGGAAGAGTGTGGATGTTCCCAGCTGCATTCGTGCCAGGAGGTTTGAGGTTGGCCTCCATGTTTCATGAAGGGTTGTTTTTATTGCAGGTTAGATGCCAAAGTAGACTGGAGAACCGTGTGTATGTGAAAGCATTAAACTTTCCTGTGCAGTTCTTGCTGAAAAGCAATAAAAAAAAAAAAAATTAAAACTGAAGTTCTGGTGAAGGGCATTGAAGCTGTGCCAGGAATGTTCTTCAGCAGTGCCCTTAATAGCTGTTGATTCGTAGGAGGCCATCTCTAGCAATACTGAAGGTAGGAGTCCTGGGGGAGGATTTGTCTCTCTCTTTCTTAGAGAAAGGAACACTAATTTCTCTCAGATAAAATTCTAATAGACGCTCAGTCTGCTGACTCCTGCAGCTGGAGACGACTGTGTTCTGAATTGAGAATACACACCCATGGTCGGTCATCGGACAGATATAGCTGTGTCTGTCCATAGATTGATGTAAAATGACTCATTCCCTTGCCTTGATGAGAGGGTGCTTTTTGCAGTATTTCCCATAAGATTTTAAATGAGTACTTGGAAGCTTTTCAGGTGTTTAACATATAGGTTGGTGGTGTTCTGTGTTGAAGACAGTGAATGCTCCTGTTAATGAAGTTGGTGTAAATATGTACTGCGAGGGTCCTGGAGGGGAGACAAGTTCTTGGCCTTTTTAGGAACTTGAAACTCTTAGTTAAGCACTCTTACAACAAAAAAAAAAAAATCCCGAACACCTGCCCATTTGTCCTAAGAGCTCATAGATCTGTTGCAGTTCATAAACTCCGAGGCCATGAACTAATATTGTTCACTCTTCGTGGTGTTGTACATTTTACAGAAGGCGTTTTATCTCCCAGCGCTGCTCTCTAGACTTTTTAGAAGACATAGTGGAATATGCCAGTGTACGAAGGTACTTCTTTTCAAAAGCAGCATTAATCTCAACTCGTTGCATGCAGTCCTCTCCTCCCTCCACCCTCTTCCACGCCAATATCTGAGGTCCTGCATGCTAGTGCTGCCATGTGATCATAAAACCAGCCCAACTCTTTTTAGAGCACTTAACAGGTGGTGTTGGGTTTTTTTATCATTGCAGAACCAAGCACATATCTGGATCTCCAAGACACAAAAGTTTGAAGAAGATGCACTTCATCAAGAACATGAGGCAGTATGACACCAAGAACAGCAGGTAACTTCTGGAGGTCAAGGTGCCCCCTGTGCTCAGATGTGCTCAGCTGTAGCCTCTAGTTCAGTGCAGTCAACCACTTAATGTCAGTGGGAATCTGGTGATGTCCTTGGGATCATATTAATTTTATGCATGCTTCTATCAAAGGCAGTAGGTGCTCCTATCTGCTACATCTGCAGCAATATTCTGATGGTTCTGCCCCCTGCTTTGAGGAGGTTAAATCATCCTATTCTTCTCCATATCTCCAGCATGCAGAGTTTCGAGCAGAGGAGGATTTAAGGAGAATGGCTTGGTTTAGCCAACTTCTTGGCTCATAGTTGCTGGGCAGAAGAGAAATGGGGGGGTGCATTAATATTTATTGTTAACAGAGGTGTGAGACTTCATCTAAATGTAAAATACTGTTTGCATCTTTTCACAAGGTTTATGTAAAAATTACATAAATATAAACATACATTTAAAGACTAGGATGTCCTTTGAGGCACTCCCAAGGTGATGGCAGTTGCTGAACGCTGGGGTTTGGTACAGAACTCGGCTCTAAGGACCTGCAGGGTCAGAATGGAACCGCTGCTTTTGTGCTGCTTTTTCTGAAAGCATCAAATCCATCGCAGTATCTCTGTAACTTACAGAGCAATATAAGAGGAGGTCTGTGTTCATGTTCCATAAAAAGCTGCTTTGTAACTTCTGAATCTTAATTCTTATCCTCATCTCTTCCCATCTGCTTACAGGATAGTGTTAATTTGTGCTAAACGAACACTGTGTGTGGCTTTTTCTATCCTACCTTACGGGGAGAGTTTACGGATCAGGTGAGTCACCTTTAACTGCTTTGTGAAACGTCTGGATGTTTTGTATGGAAATGTCTGGTTTGTTGTTTGCAGAAGATCTTTTTAAATTAGGATGGTTGGTGCAGGTCTCCTGTTTTGAAGCAGGTGAACTTACTTACCATTTAGGTGCAAGGACAGGCTGTCAGAGCAGTAAAATCAGACATCGCCACAGTGTCCAAAGAGAAAAATAGTGGAAAAGCCAGACTTTTCTTCAGGTGTTTATTCCCATTTTAAAGCACTCCAAGTGCTCTGAAATCCCTCAAACTAACTTTGAACAGATGATGTGATTTGTTCATGTGTAGGGTTTCCTACGCTCCTCAAGTGATCAGAAATCAGCTGTCTTTAGTGCAACAAACAACTGTGTCAGCAAAAAAGCATATGGAGTGTCAGGGAAGGATGCTGCTGCCTTTACTGGAAACCCTTAAGGTTTTCTAGTGGAGTTACATCTAAAGTAAATTTAAGATGCTTTTCTGTTTTTTCAGCTCTTCTATGCCACAATTGTTACTATCTGCAATCTAAGAAAAACAGAAGCAGCTTAGACTGATACTGCTTTTAGGATTTGTACTACATTTTTATATAGAACTGTCAATGTGATCTCTTGTGGGAAACAAAACCTGCTAACTGGATTTCCCTGCAGCTTTGCTCAGTCCCTTGTGGAGTCCAAGTTGTTTCTGTGAAGGTCTGCTACAAGTGTACCGTAGAAAATACTAATTTGATTCTTATCCACTTTTGGCAAAACAATTGTGTTGTCACTTCTGTCCTGTACATAACTTACAGACGAAGGAAACAGATGTTTAGTGGTGGGAATTGTATTGTATGCAAATACACTTGCCGTAAAAATAGTTGATGGGAAAATATTCTCTCACTTAATAGAAAAGCAGCAAGGTCACTGGAGCTGTTTCAGAGCAGTTCTGAGCACTGTATTGTGCTGCTTGTAAGCTGGCAAGGCAGTTCCTCAACTGAAAGCGGGTTTTTTGCATGGGAATATAGGTGACAAAGCTGCAGGTTGTCATTGCTAAAGCAGGGTTCTGGCAGCAGCCCTAATGCTTAATTTGAGCTTGTGTGCACAGTGGTTGGAATATTGCAATTGAAAGGCAGGTTTCTAATCCTGAAAAACTAGTAATATAAACCGTGTTTGCTGTTAAGTGTTTGAGCATTAGTGTGTTATGAATGGTATGGTCTCATGCAGAAAGACCATATTAAAACAAAAGTTTACTTTTGGTAGGTATATTGGTACAGATTTGAGTTAAACTGAGATTAAATCTGATTCTTCAGTTAATTAACATCTCTCTGTTTTGAAAAGAGTAGTTAAAGATGAATGCTTTCTTGGAGACGGGATTGAGGGATTGCACTGTTCTCACACGGTGCTCTGACCTGGTCGTGTTGGCTGTAGCTAGTGGATGGACCTGGTGTCTGCCACAGAGGACGCTGGGTTTATGCTGCATTTTCCAATAGTGCATTTTCTTATCTGCTTTTAGTGATCTAAAAATGGAAGGACAGAAGCAGCGACATCCTTCTGGGGGAGTTTCAGTCTCCACTGAGATGGTGCTTGGACTGGAAGGAGTAGAGCTGGGTGCTGATGGCAAGGTAAGGAGTATTTTTTTCTCTTTTTTTTTTTTTTTTTTTTCCTCTAATGCCAATGACTGAACCATTGAGTGGAGCTGGGGACAGCGGGTGGGTAAGCTGGCTGCTGTCACCCTGAGACCATTTCATGCCAGGCCAAGTCACTCTATGGATGGCAAAGCACTGCATAAGTTAAGTGAGAGCTGTAACTTGTCAGAGCAGTGGAAATTTGTTTTGATCCTTAAAGTTTGAAATGTTTGGCCTGTGATAAAGCTTCTTCTGAGGAAGCTGTTGGAGCCTGTGATCACTTCTGCCTCTGTTTCTGGAGAACTGATTTGACTCTGGTATCTTGGGCAACAATTGAGTGATGTTTTGATAGAAACATGGGTGAAATTTATGCCTCTTTATATACTGCCAGAATTTTTGTGATGACCCCTTTCCTTTGCCACCCCATCAAATCTTTTACAACACTTCCATACCGAAATTGTGGAAGCAAGGCATTCTTCATCCAACCTTTCCCTTTCCTCCTGTCCCACAGTTTCAAGGTCCCCACTCCCAATTACAAGCTCCAGGGGTATCTCTGAGTTGTAAAATGCTAGATGTCTGGCAATGAGCGTTTCAGTAAATTTTCCCCTATAACTGCTACAACTTTCTCTTTAAGGTTGTGTCCTATGCAAAATTCTTGTACCCGACCAATGCCCTAGTTGTTCGCAAAGCTGACAGCCATAGCGCTGTTCCCTTGTGTCGAGCTAGTGCTTCACGGAGTCTTCCTCCATCAAGATACAAACCTGTGACAGTAAAAACCATCCCAGCAGGAACAGACATTGGTAAGGACAGCCGTCAGCTTTGTCACCACTTGTGCACACAGCAGAAAAACATAAAAGGAATATATTTGTCAAAACAATTGCAAAAGTGCATTGTTAGGAAGGATGTGCTGCAGCTGGAAGGAGACTGGTTTTAGCACAGCCTAGCAAAGAAGGCTTGGTAATGAAGTATAAACAATGAACATTAAGCCTGCGGCTTGCACGCAGTCCTTACATCGTCTGTATGTCTGGCTGAGTTCTGTTGATGCAATTCAAGGAGCACAAAGCTGTTTCCTTGAAAATGTGAGCTTTTAAATTACTCAACAAGAAACATCTGTTGTACATCGATACAGGTGGTCCTCCTTGCCTTCTAGCACAGTAACAATGCAGAAGCCAGAGAGTTTGTGACAAGAATCCCTTCTCTTGTGTAAAAGAGCAAACCTGACAGCTCTGCTGTCTGCTAGATTACAGGGAAAAGAATTCAGCCTTGTGCAGTTGTTTTCTCTGCACATTTGTGGATGACAAATGGCTAGTTTGCACCAAGTCTAAAATGGTGCGTCAGGCACATGCTGGAGAAAGAGCTTGTGTGGGTTTTTTAATAATTCTGATGCCTGACTGGTGTGTTCGTGGAATGCAGACAGGTGACTGTAGCTGCAGTTTGCCTGTACTGTGGGGTCTGCCAACACTTTTCATGTTTGCTGTTTGAAAACTTTTTTAAAGAGGAAACAGGGAATTTGAAGCTCTGCATCTTGTGACCCAGTGTTGTGCTTTCCTCATTCCACTCAGGAAGTGAAGCTGGGGAAGCCGCAGAGTATGATCCAAATATTCTGGATGATCCCCAATGGCCCTGTGGAAAACATAAACGTGTTCTCATTTTTGCCTCTTACATGGTGAGTGACTGGCGTACCTGAACAGAAAAGGGAGTGAGTGCCTGGAAGATCCTTCTTGAGGAAGAAAAATTCTTCTAGGAAAAAAAAGTTGTGCCTTTAATAGTTGTGTTTGTACACTCAGCTTGTTGAGGACCAACCTGACATGTATCTTCATGTTGTAGTTTGCTTCTTGTCATCATTTGCTCACTAGTTTTTTAAGATTTTTGTCTATGGTTGAGATTCAACACGGTCCATTACTTAGGACATTAGAGAAATGTCAAATTGTGAATAATAAAACTTGGCTTTGCCTTTATATTAGTGTCTTTGGAAGACCTGTTTTGCTGTCAGTACTGTTCACAAGGGAAATGGTCAATTTTGCCTCTTGTGTTTCAGACTACAGTCATAGAATATGTGAAACCCTCGGACCTTAAAAAGGATATGAATGAAACCTTTAGAGAGAAGTTTCCTCATATCAAGTTGACACTGAGCAAAATTAGGAGGTAAGAAGCAAACACTGAATAATGAGAACATCTATGCTGTACAAGGCTGCTTTTATCTTCCACTTGTATGGAAAAAATACTAGATCTATTAATAGTATATATGATTAAACACTGATCTCTTGTTGCCAGTTGAGCTGGCTGTAGGATGACAGCCCTGTACGGGAATGTTTAGGATGCTGAGAAAGGGTAACAGTTGCTTTTCATAGTTCAGCCTAAAAGGGTTTTGTTTCACTGACTGTGGTGTAGTAACACTAATAACCAGTTAACAGTGAAGCAGCATTAGCCTTGAAACAAATCCGTGTAACCTGATTGTTTGGCTGTAGTGCAGTCCCACTCTAACTGGATTGTCTTTTTGGACCCTCTGGCTATTTTTGCCTTTTAATTACCAAATTTGCTGATGACCCTGGACTCTAACAAGATTCTGGAATAAAGAAGAGAGTTAGGTCTGGGGAATTTCGGAAAAGAAAAGCATTTCATGAAGGCAGGACTATGCCACACAGAATTCCTCATCTTCCAGGAAGTGCATCTGGCTGCTCACCAGCGAGATGCACTGTTGCACCTTCCAAGAGCTGTAATCTTGTTGGTATTACACGGCTGTTAATGCAATCAGGGCCTTCTGAAATAGTCGGCTTAGAACATGAATCTGCTGAATCAGCAGGTCCGTGTGTAATTCATCTCCAAGTGGAAGGCTTGCTCAGGCAGAGCATGTGTTCTGACAGTGTCCTGCAGCTCCTCTCTGTAGCTGGTTCGAGTGGTGCATTTGTGCAGAGATCTTCTTGCAGGTGTAGCGCTGGTGGCAGCCACGAGAGGTAGCACCCACCATAAAGTCTGCCTTAATGGCAATGCCCCAAAGGGCTAGCTGTTGTGGGAAGGGTGTAAACCAGTCTGCCTTCCCCCTCGGACCTGATTCTTCCGCGAGGTGTGCTGTTGACAGGTCTCCATGCAGCAGCTGCTGTGCTCTGCATGGCTTTGATGTGGGGTTCTGCAGGTCAGGGTGGCTCAGTCTTAGGAGGTGAATCACGAACCAGTTGGGGAGCCCAGAGGCAACCATACAGCAGCAGCCTGGGTGTCAGTGAGGCAGCTAAGCCCCTGGTGTTCATGGGCAGATGAGGAGCTGTTCTTCCACAGCAGATGTTGTCAGCCAGGTTAAATCAGTTAGTGCATCAGCTCCAGCGTGCTGCCAGCTGGGCTTCTCCAGCCTCGGATAATACACATCACAGTTTTCCAAATAGGAGTCTTGTCCAGATGCTCTTGTGAGTTCCCATGCTGCAGTGTTTCTACAGCATTTCATAAAAGCTGTCGTGTTTGAGAGGGTGTCTTTCTTCCTGTTCCCAGTTTAAAGAGAGAGATGCGGAACCTGAGTGAGGAGTGCAATCTGGAGCCGGTGACTGTCTCCATGGCTTATGTTTACTTTGAGAAGCTCGTCCTCCAAGGCAAACTCAACAAACAGAACCGCAAACTGTGTGCTGGTGCTTGCGTTCTGCTTGCAGCCAAGATCAGCAGTGATCTCAGGAAACACGAAGTTAAACACCTTATAGATGTAAGTACTGCGAGACTTGTTTCAGGTGTTGTCAAAATCCTCCATTGCATAGAACAAGGCAAGGATTAAGCCAAGATTTTCAGCAGTGCATGCTTGCATTTAAGACCAGCTCTTATGTCTCATTAGGGGTTTTCCTTGTTTTTTTTCTTTTGTTAATTCTTTTGTTAATTAAAACTACCTGACTGGTACAGTCTGATGTCCTACAGATCTTCCAGTGAGGTTATTTTTGCACTCACTGTTTCTCAGGCAAGTGTATGTAACTGCTGTGTGGGTGTCACAGCTGAGCTGATAAGCTGGTTTACTTTGATCCCTGGCAACACTCTTCATTCTGTAGGTACTGCTCAGGCCATGCATCACTGACTCCTGTTTTATGCTGACTTCCTCTAACAGTGTGTTTGTATCTTATGGATTAACTGAGTCTTTCTCCTTGTCTTTTTTTTTTTTTTTTAATTACTGTCATAGAAACTAGAGGAGAGATTCAGATTCAACAGAAGAGATCTGATTGGTTTTGAATTCACCGTCCTTGTAGCTTTGGAACTGGCTCTCTATCTTCCTGAAAACCAAGTTTTACCTCATTACAGACGGCTCACCCAACAGTCTTAACCAAAGCTGCGTTCCAGCTGGCAGCCGGTGGCACTGGGCTCGCATCACTGAATGCTGCTGGTGGAATTGCCACTGGCCTTTGTGCCGCTGTGCGCATCCTGCCATGGCTACAGCTCGTTTTGGAGTCTGCGGTGTGTTGTTAAACTGTCAAGGTGTGCGTTATGGACACGTATGCCAAGTCTGGGGGATGGTACAAGAAGAGTTATTGAACTTTTCTTTTGAACATTTGAAGCACAAATATTCACCAGTCAGCTGTCATGGCTGCTTATTATTCCTTATTTATCTTCTCGGTTTTGCTAAAACTGTTCTTCCCTATGAAGAATACTATGGTATTGTTTCTTTTTTTTTTTTAAGGCTTCATTGTATTCCTTGAAACTAAAGGAAGCATCACTTCCATTCCAGTGCACCATAAAGTTCAGATGTTTCTAAGAATCTTCTCACATTTTTACACTGATGAAATGCATACTTTATTTTTTTAAAGATGTGCCTAAAACTGGCTGGTCTGGTACCAGTGCTTTTTAAGTTAGTTATGTTATTTAGTGGGGAATCCTGAATTTGTATAGCCATTTATTCTTTACCTGCATTGGCCTTGCATATGAGGATAACAATTCCAGTATATCTGCACTAATAATACACAGGGCATCTATTCTGTACTATACTATAGATCTACAAGTGGCAAGATTGAAATTACTCCGTTCCAATTTAGTTAACTACTAATACCTTAAGAATATATATTTTATTTAAAAAGGAGAGATTGAAAATCTGTCATGAAGTACCACATGTTGAACAAGGTAGCTGCAGCAAAGCGATTGCTGTCCTAATTCACTAGTCAGTGGAAGATGAGCGCTTGACTAAGAGTGATTTGCCGTCAGATGTATAATTTATGGTTTTACTTGTTTCAGTGTTCCATAGTCTGAGATAAGCACCTTTTTAGTACGACTGTATTATATATGGTCTTACGTGCTCTGAGCAAATACTTAAGTCAGTAGAGCTCCTGCTGCCAAACGAAGCCAATGAAACAAAGCATGCTCAATATTTAAAATGATACTTCTTTTACTCCGTTCTTCCAAGCATTGCATCACTGTGGTCCTCATAAAGCTGGCATCTGTTGAGCATCTGAACAGCCAGTTAACAGCTGGCACCCAGCAGCGCTCTGATGCTTACGCAGAAGTTAAATAACTTCTCTGACCATTGGCTATTCCTTCATTATTTTTAAAATACCCGAGTTAGGAAAGAACTCTTGATTACATATGGAACCTTCTGGGATACTGGCTCTTGGGTTTATTTTCTGAAGCAATATTATGATACAAGTAACTGTGTCCATTTGCAAGGAACTAAACTGATGCTTGGCTATTGCAACTGAGAAATTTGTAATTTAAGTTGGACTCCTCCATGAAATACTAGGCCTCAGGCTGAGGTAAGGGACCTGCTACCTAATATGTAAAGTAATGTAAATTCCTGTTCCTTGTATTAAATGTTGGTTGTAGCCAAAACCAAAGCTGAATCTTTGCGCTTCAGCTGTGTTTTGTCTGAAGCTAATGTGGCTTCATTACAATTGCAGCAAACTTTACTGGAGCCCCTTTCTCTTTAAGTAGGGCTCAAAATGTATTTTTCAGATATAATAATTACAGTGACTATCAAATCTTTTGTAACTGTGTTCAGCTGTACGTAGCTTCAAGTTATTTGTGTAAAATTTAATATGCTTGCGACTTCTCTCTAACACAGAAGGACTTTCCAGTCTCCATAAGTGAGAGCTCTTAAGTTAGACAATAAGCTTGCCAGTTACCTTCCAAAAGGTTTAAAAAATTGCCTACTAGTTAAACTTTCTACTGGATGTAACTGTCCTTGCATGCAAGAAATAGTGATGTACTAAACATCTAGTGTATAATGAGCCTTCAAATTAGCAAGCAGTGGTGAAGACAACACTTTTTAAAGTCATTAGGGGAGGGGAAAGAGGTAGAACTGAACAAAGAAATTTCTCACAAGGTATTTCCAGAAATTGTGAAACACTTTGGTTAGTATGAACAAAGTCAGAAAATGTATTTCTCTGGGAACTTCTGTTTAGCGTGTACTGAGGTTTCTGTAACAAAATTAACTTTCCCTTTCTCACCATCTAAGGAAAAAAAACGCAGTTGGGCTTGCAACACTTTGTGATCTCTGCAGTGGAAGTTTGCCTAGTTGCAGTGGGCATTTGGGCTGGAGTTACACTCCCAGAAGCTATGGTTTCACGTCATAAAAGGGCAAGCTTTTGTTTTTTTTCTTTCAGAAGAACAAATTAGGGTAGGGAGCACTGAATGACAGAATGCTGAGTGTTGTCTAAAGGTTACTGTAAACGTTGGCTTGGGCACACACAGTGTTCTTGAGCTTAAAAGCTGTTTGGAGCACAGGCCAAAAACAATGCGGTGGAGCAAACGATGTTTGGGGCCGGTGCTGTCCAGAGGCACAGTCTGCGGCTTGTACATCCGTACCTCTGTAGTGTCTGTGCAGAAAGCATCTTTCTGCAGAGATATGATGACTTGGGTGTGTGTATGTGTTGATTTTTCTGTTTCTAGAGCGTAGCTTGCAGTCCCGTGGGGGAATATTTATCTTTTCACCTAAAAGCTGCCACCATGTGGCAAAGGACTATTACTGCGTTACCCGTTCATCACTAAACTGCAACTGGGACCCAAAATAATCCATGGCTCTGCCGGCTTTACGTGGTCACAGCCCAGCTCCTCTTGCTTGGCAGAGAAACGCAGGTTTACGCCGAGGGCACGGTGTGAAGATGCTGCTGGGGTGACTCCGCAGGGACAACTCTCTCGAGAAGAGGCTGTACATTTTCCTGTGAACGATGCTGTTCTGGTTTTGTCTTACTCTGTTATTTAAAAGTCTTGAGTCGTCGCCTGTTCCATATTTTCCCCCCCTATGAACTTGTGAAATGAAGATGCTGTGAAATAAAAACGGTTTTGATACGTGTTTTGTAGCCACACGCCTCGTTTCGGAATGGTCCGGGCGGTTTCTGTCACCGTGGCGGCTCCGGGGGCGGCCGCTTCCCCTCAGCACGGCGCCGTGCCCC